GTGTTTTAGCTTGTGAATGCCAAAAAACGGCTCTGTCCATGCCACGTTTAGGCTGTAATTTTATGCAGCGTTTTGCGTGTAGGATGTAACGTCCCAAGTGTTTAGAAAATAATATTTATATATATATATATATATATATTAAGAAAATAGTAAAAAAATAATACTAAATAAACAAATAAACATTTGGAAAAAGGAATAATTATAAAATATGTATAATACTATTCATAAAATTAAATAATCATGATAACAATAAATAAGTATTTATAATGTCAAATGAATTAATATATAAATATATATATATATATATATAATAGATAAATAAATAAAGTAAATACAAGAGACATAATTTTATAAATTGAGCAAATAAATCATAAATCTGATTAAAAAAATATATATAATAAATTATGACTTTGGTGTCACCTGTGGTATTAATTATTATATTTGAAAAACGTTTACTACCTTATTTGAACAGTAACCAAAGTGTGTAAAACTTTTATCCAAATGTCACGCGAATAGTACTTTTTACCAGATTGTCACATGTCATAATTCGCTACCATTGGTAGAGAATTTCGTAGCCAATAATTTTGTGACACGTGACCATATTGCATACCAAATTCGTTACGACTGATAGCAAATTTAGTCCAGTCAGCTTTTTTCTGCGAATGTGTGTCACGTGTTATAAAATCATTGGCGAACGTAATTTACTACCAGTCGTAGCGAATTACGTCATATGGCAGTCTGGTAAAAAGTATTATTTCCGTGACATTTGGATAAAAATTTTGCCAAAAAAATGACATTTTATTCGATGTTCCGCCCTTATTCTTATCTTCTTATAGAGTCCTCTACTTTTTTGGTATGACCTGTGGTATTCATTATGACTTTAAAAAAATGGTTTTATAAAAGTTATGTTATATGAAAAGTGATTGTGTAATGTTATAGATATTCATTTTGCGTGCCAAAATTTTTTTTTTCTTCAAAAAGTGTGTGCCCAACAAAATGTTGCATGTGAAGGAAACTTTGTTGTGTCATATTAAATGAAAAATGCAAACCCCTTAAAATATATATATAATAAAATAATAATGATTATACAGATGAATGTATCTTAAAAGAGAAGAATAAGGGCAATAGATTTTTTTAAGGGGTTTGCATTTGTCATTTAACATGATACAACAAAGTTTCCTTCACACGCAACATTTTGTTGGACACACTTTTTGAAGAAAAAAAAAACTTCAGCACGCAAAACGAATATCTATAACATTACACAATCACTTTTTCTATGACATAACTTTTATAAAACCCTTTTTTAAAGTCATAATGAATACCACAGGTCATACCAAAATAGTAAAGGACTCCATAAGAAGATAAGAATAAGGGCGGAACATCGAATAAAATGTCATTTTTTGGCAAAAATTTTATCCAAATAATACTTTTTACCAGACTGCCATATGACGTAATTCGCTACGACTGGTAGTAAATTACGTTCGCTAATGATTTTATAACATGTAACACACTTTCGCAGGAAAAAGCTGACTGAACTAAATTTGCTATCAGTCGTAACGAATTTGGTATGCAATATGGTCACGTGTTACAAAATTATTGGCCACGAAATTCTCTACCAATGGTAGCAAATTAGGACATGTGACAATTTGGTAAAAAGTACTGTTCGCGTGGCATTTTGGATAAAAAATTTAGACACTTTGGTTACTGTTCAAATAAGGTAGTAAATGTTTTTCAAATATAATAATTAAAAAAAAATTAATACCACAGGTGACACCAAAGTCATAATTTATTATATATATATTTTTAATCAGATTTATGATTTATTTGCTCAATTTATAAAATTATGTCTCTTGTATTTACTTTATTATTTATCTATTATATATATATATATATATATATTAATTCATTTTGCATTATAAATACTTATTCATTATTATCATGATTATTCAATTTTATGAATAGTATTATACGTATTTTATAATTATTCCTTTATCCAAATATTTATTTGTTTATTTAGTATTATTTTTTTACTATTTTATTAATATTATTATATATATATATATATATATTATTTTCTAAACACTTAAGACGTTACATCCTACACCATAAAATTGCAGCCTAAACAAGGCATGGACAGAGCCGTTTTTTGGCATTCTGACAAGCTAAAACACGGTAACAAACATGACGCGTTCAATGCAACTCGAATTCGGTGACTGACAAGACGCGTTGTTCTGTATTAATATGGTAATAAATTTAGTCAGGAACTTAATCCAGTCAAACTTTTAAATATTTGAACCAAATAGGTCAAAAAGCCACCTCATTGGATATGTTGAGTGAGCGGAATATTTAGTGATGCGAATATTTTGTCCTTAGTGGGATGAAGGATAAGAAACTCATCCAAAACAAAAATCTTGTTTTTTTTTTCCGTTAGTTTGGAATGATGGATTGGGCGCTCAAGTCACTCATATGAAACAAAAGTCTAGTTCCCTTCTCCAACCCTCAATAATTAGTGTATTTTGCATATATATATATATATATATATATATATATATATATATATATATATATATATATATATTATTTTGCTGACAAGTGATTGAAAACTTAGAAGCTTTTGGTTTGATTGGAAGTAACACTAAATTCTATTACAAACAATGAGTAGTATCTAGCAATACATGACTGCTAGTTAAATACAAGAATGTTATTAATTTGTTGTATATAGCATATCAGTGCCTAATGCTATCATGTTGTTAGTGGCAGAGCCACTTACTTCTTAACAGCCTTGGCACGACCTAATTTTAAAAAATTATATTTTAAAAAAAAATTATGGTATAGCTTTAGTATTGGTTAGATTTTTAAAAATAATATAATATTAGTACTAGCTGGATTTTAATAATTGAGTCTTTTGACACTGACAAAGTCTTTTTCATAGCTCCGCCGTTGCATGATGTTTAGTTCCCTAGATATCTCAATCGAACATAAAACATGAAATATATCATATTTATATAGTTCAACCCTTGATTTTCTAGTGTCCTAGCATATACATGTCTATTGGAGTGATTACAAGTCAAAAGACCACATATATAAGAATAATTGTGAGAACTACTTATGATAAATACATATTCATTTAAGTACATACTCTTTTTATTAAATATTTAATATATATTTAAATTATCCTTTTTTTTAGTCTAACACTTTCACAATTGAGATTAAATAGTAAATCTAATTTAAGATGTATTTATAGGAATTCCAACTCTTGCAACAACTTGTTTCACTTTCGGAAAAACACAATAAAAATATTTTTAAGTGTATATTCGCTCAAACGTTCTCATGTTATGAAATATAATAAAGGTATTAATATTGAAAATTTAAAAATTTTATAACTCAATTTTACTTTGTTCTTGTGACATTATTTAGTTTGTAAACTTAATAAACAAGTCATTTTAATTTATTGTAACATGTTAAGTGACTTTATTATAATATATATTGTTAATTACCAAGAGACAAGAGCCTCGCCGCCCCTCACTTTCTCTTGTGGCGTTTCTTAGCACAGGTAGGTTGGGCCTATTGCATTGTCCACTCTTCAAGCTCAATGGGCTCTCGTGTGAGGGGACGTGTTGAGATATATAGTCTCACAATGATTGTTTGTGCAACTAATGTGGAGTTTATAGACATTCTCACCCTTTGAACTAGTTTTTGGAGTGGTGTATCTCAAGGTTCTTTACATATATTTTTTACAATCTATTAATAATAATAGATTCAAATCATTGTTAGAAAATATATTATTATACTCATAAAATTTGATAATTAATAATAGGAACTGGTCAACTTATATTAGTATAACTTTAATAAATCTATTAAGCATTGATTACACTTATATTTAATGACTGACATAATTAATACATTAAAATCTTTAAATACAAGTGAGATCAATAATTAATAATGAATACAAGACACACATGATATAAGTAATTAATTTTAATATTATTTGCACCTAAAGAGCAATTTTATCATATCAATGTCTATACAGATTATTACATAGTTAAAACTCTGTAAGTTAAGATTGGCGAACCCAAATCTACTTAATTCTCTGAATATAGAGATGATCATAATTTACAAACCCACAAATTGTCAAACCCTTTGGTTGGTGGAGAAACATGAGCCCCTTTTTAGCAAAGCCTCATAATGCCATCCATTGCTTAAAAGCAGCGATTGCTCTCATCAAATCTCAAACTTCTACTCTCCTCCCTCCGTATGAAACAAGTTCCCCCCGCACAAAACATTCTTAAATAAAAGGGGTATATAAATTCTTGGAACTCCCGAATTCTAGGTCTTCCGGCAGATCAATTAGCTTCCTTTTAGACAGAGAAGACAAATAATAGACTTCTTCAATACACAGCAAGCCTTTGTTCTTTTTAGCAGGAAAAACAAAAGAAGACTCACTCACTAACATCAAACAAAATCCTAATTCATTAGATTAACCTTAGAATTCCATGTATTGGCTTACTCTACCCTGATTCACCTTTGCTCAAAAAGCTTCAATCTCTCTCTTTGACTTCTCTCTGTCTAGCCAGTTAAAGTTGTCTATTTTATTTTTTTATTTTCTGTTTTTAAATCAAAATAAAATATTGAACCATTTATTGTCTGTGAAACCATAAAACCAAATGAGTGGCCAGCACCACCGCCAACAAAAAAAACTTACCTCCAAGAAACAACAAGATTCCTCGTATACAACGATGAGAAAAAAGTGAAAAAGAGCATCGCCAAAACCAAACATTACTTTGTTTTTTTCTTTCCCCTTTCATTCTCTGCTTGTCTTGAACACCAGTGTATATAAAACAATTGCAGCAATGCCCAATCTTGTGTAATCTGAATGCATTATTTCTGAAACAAACAAAAAAACACCAAAAAAGAGAGAAAATCTTGCATCCACATTTCTCGAGAAATACAAGTAATAAAAAAAGTGGGTTTTCCCAGAAAGTCAACATTTTCCTAAGAAAATGTCTCTGATGAAGCAAATGTCCGACAACATGGACGACACTCCGTCGACACCTGGAAAGTTCAAGATGGAGAAAGGTTCCTACTTTCATAGGGCTCGGTGGCACTCTTCCCTCGCCAAGCTCACCATTTGGTCCTTTGTGTTCTTGGGTGTCATCTTCTTCTTCTTCTTCAGAACCCCATCATCACCTTCATCCCTCCCTGCAGACCCTTCTCGCAGGTTCCTAAGGACCTACAGTTATGGTGGTGCTGCATGGGAGAAGAGGGTTCGTTCCTCTGCCAGGGTAAGGTCCAACAATGGTGTCTCTGTGCTTGTCACTGGTGCTGCAGGGTTTGTTGGAACCCATGTCTCTGCTGCCCTCAAACGCCGTGGTGATGGAGTGCTTGGCCTTGACAATTTCAATGACTACTATGACCCATCACTGAAACGTAAACGCCAAGCTCTTTTGGAGCGCACTGGGGTGTTCATTGTTGAAGGGGATATCAATGATGCATCACTTTTGAGGAAGCTTTTTGAGGTTGTTCCTTTCTCTCATGTGATGCATTTGGCTGCTCAGGCTGGTGTGAGGTATGCTATGGAAAATCCGGGATCTTATGTGCATAGCAATATTGCTGGTTTTGTCAATTTGCTTGAGATTTGTAAGTCTGTGAATCCACAACCTGCTATAGTGTGGGCATCTTCTAGCTCAGTTTATGGACTAAATACCAAGGTTCCCTTTTCAGAAAGTGATAGGACTGACCAGCCTGCTAGTTTGTATGCTGCTACTAAGAAGGCTGGTGAAGAAATTGCTCACACATATAATCATATATATGGACTTTCCTTAACAGGGTTGAGGTTCTTTACTGTTTATGGACCTTGGGGTAGGCCTGATATGGCTTATTTCTTTTTCACAAGGGATATTTTAATGGGGAAGCCAATTCCAATCTTCGAAGCTGCTAATCATGGCATGGTTGCCAGAGATTTTACTTATGTTGATGACATTGTGAGAGGATGCTTGGGAGCATTGGACACTGCTGAGAAGAGCACTGGTAGTGGTGGGAAGAAGAAGGGACCAGCTCAATTGAGGGTATTCAATTTAGGGAATACTTCACCTGTGCCAGTTACAGATCTTGTGAGCATTTTAGAGAGGCTCTTGAAGGTTAAGGCCAATAGAAACATAATGAAGTTGCCGCGAAATGGGGATGTGCCATTTACTCATGCAAACATTAGCTATGCTGAGAGAGAGTTTGGGTATAAACCTACAACAGATTTACAGACTGGTTTGAAGAAATTTGTTCGGTGGTACCTCAATTACTATTCTGATGGACAGAAAGCTGCTGAGTGATGGATTCTTTAAACATTATGGTAGGATCTTTGAATTCTTGTTCATTATGATTCTTTTGGTTGTTCCCTAGCATTTCTCTGTTAGTTGTGTGATTATCATGTTTCATATGTGTCAAAGATTCCACATGAGGAGGAACCTTGTTTCCTACACTGAGGAAGTTTTTTTGTTGTCGGAGATTAATGCCTTGGCATCTATCAGCATTGTCAAAGCAACAAGAAGAATTATATTCTTGTCCTTTATTCTTTTTCCAGAATGTAATTGTTGTAGTTTTAGAAATTGTAGCATTTATGACTGATAGATCATAAGCTGATTGGTGGCAATGTATATTTGCCTAAGAAAATTTAATAAAATAGCACACAATAGTTTGATTTTCAGTTTCTGATACAATGTATCAAGAAAATGTCTTTTATTTGGCTATGTAAAATTTTCAGCTATAAATGGACTCATGAACTAATAATTCTGAGCACAAATCTACTCCTTTTCATGTTGCTAGCAATTAAAGGTTTTCTCTTTGAACAACCTGCTTAAAAGTATATAAAAAAGTGCCGAGTCGTCCTCACAAGGATTTATATATTTAGGAACTTCTATAGTTCCTTCCAGAGATAATTTTGTTGCTTGCAATTTGTATATACGATCTTTCTAACAACCTTTCCATTTTTCGTCCTGTAAGCATTCCAAGATTGGCCCATTTTCATATGGAAAAATTTACTTTGGTGAGGGGAGAGTGATCAAGTTTATATTGATCAGCTAAATTTGGGAGAGATTCTATTGGTATGAAATATGGGGATTATGAATCTCCTGTTGTGGGAAGATTCATATCTCTCCAACAGACACATGAAAAAACAAGTTGCATATTTTTTTTTATTTTTTTTGTCAATTTGATGACCATATTTTTTTTATTTTTTTTTCAACTTGATGACCACATGTTCTGATACAATAGCCACAACCAATGATAAGCATGAAGGTACAAGAGCAACAAAAACAGAGGAAAGGAACATTGAAGATACAAATCTTTGGAAGGAACCAAGCATAGCAGAAAGAAGAGCTATTAGAGAAAGGAGAAAGCAATTAAGATTAAGAGATGCATTATAGATAAAAGAAAGTGTAATAGATGTAATATGATGCTTAGGTAAGTATGACGTGTAAAGAATAAGTGAGACGTGTAGTATTAAAAGGGAACTATGTGTACATATGTCAATCATCAAAAGAAATAAAAGAATTACTCATTTTTCTTCTTCTCATCTCTGAATCCTCTCTCTTCTCACCCTTCTTCTATTTTCTTCTTCTTCGATAGAAATTAAACTCTATCAATTGGTGCTTTCATCCCGAACTATGGCACCGGAAACATGCAATAGATCCGTGGATGATCGTTTGGAGAACACACAAGCCGAAATGGATGTTTTGAAGGAGCAGATGAACAAGCGTTTTCAAGAATTAACATGCAAATTTGTGATTTTTGATAGTTACATGGAGCATCAACCAGCACACAGTACCGCAACAAGTTCTCATTCTGCATGTTCACAAGATCATGTCGCAGCCAAGAATCTACGACTTAAGGTGTCAGGATACGATGGATTAAGTGACCCACAGGGTTGGATCTACAAAATCAATCAATTTTTTGATTTCTATGATATGGCTGAAGATCAAAGATTGAAGATCGCTCCATTTTATTTTGAGGGAAAGACATTAGCTTGGTTTTAGTGGTTGCACAAGAACACGTTAATTGATTCATGGACTGGGTTTTGTAAAGCTTTACAAACCAGATTTGGGCCATCGGAGATGGAAGATTATCAAGGCAAATTGACGAAATTGGTTCAAACGGGGGCAATAATGGAGTATCAAGAGCAATTTGAGACCATTTCCAACCAGGTAGATGGATTGTCTGAATCTTTTCTTATAAGTTGCTTCATTTCGGGACTGAAATCTGAAATTTTACATGATGTTTCATCTTTTCGACCAACATCCTTAACCCGTGCCATGTCCTGAGCAAAAATCCAAGAATCTTGTAACGCCCGGCCACTTGCAAGAATCAATGACTGTCCCCACACACTAACACGAGACTTTTCAGTGTGATTTGTCCTCACTCGCACACTTCCCGGGAAAACTTCCCAGGAGGTCACCAATCTCAGAATTGCTCCAAGTCAAGCACGCTTAACTGTGGAGTTCTTCCGATCCGGGCTACCGAAAAGTAGATGCATCTTGTTAGTATAGGTAGTACCAATTAATTCTTATAAGACATTCCTAACTGTACCGTCCCATACCAGCACAGTCTCTGGAATCCCTCTCTTTCGGGTGTTGATTTGATTCATTCATGAACCCCCAAGCTGCAAGATTTGGCATGAGCCGCTCATTGTCCGTGCCATTTCGCACCGGCGATCATTCCCTGCCCTTGCCAGCTATTGGGATGTTACATGCCCACCAGCTTCCGTCTGGTTCGTCCTCGAACCACACCGTACTGGAAGAGAGGCCCTGCTCTGATACCACTTGTAACGCCTGACAACTTGCAAGAATCAATGACTGTCCCCACACACTAACACGAGACTTTTCAGTGTGCTTTGTCCTCACTCGCACACTTCCCGAGAAAACTTCCCAGGAGGTCACCCATCCCAGAATTGCTCCAAGTCAAGCACGCTTAACTGTGGAGTTCTTCCGATCTGGCCTACCGAAAAGTAGATGTTTCTTGTTAGTATAGGTAGTACCAATTAATTCTTATAAGCCATTCCTAACTGTACCGTCTCATACCAGCACAGTCTCTGGAATCCCTCTCTTTCGGGTGTTGATTCGATTCATTCATGAACCCCCAAGCTGCAAGATTTGGCATGAGCCGCTCATTGTCCGTGCCCTTTTGCACCGGCGATCACTCCCCGCCCTTGCCAGCTTTTGGGATGTTACAAATCCAAACTACAATTAAAAATTAATCCCCCAAAATTACACTCCTCTTACCCTCCATTGTTACCCACACCCTCGTATCCTTAAAAAACAACACATAACATAAACACAACCAAGAATACTTACCCAATTGCTAATACCAACACACTCAAACCCAATACCCAACGGCTAACACAAAGCCAATTCCATGAACGCAGAGAAAAAAACTTATGTTTCCATTGCGAAGACAAGTATTTTTTTGGTCATAAATGCAAGGCCTCTGTACATTTATTGATTGTTCCAAATGAAGAGGAAGTAGAGGAAATTAATTCAGTAGCTGATTCTTCCAATTCACTGCCAGAAAATGAGGCAAATGAACATGCTACAAAAGTTTCCATGCGTTAGCAGGTGTGATTGTTCCTCAAACATTGAGATTCACAAGCCATATTAGTAAATCCGAGTTCTCATTGTTTGTGGATGGAGGAAGCACACATAATTTCATCCAACCCAAGCTGGTTTCGACACTATCCTTATCTGTTACTCATGAGAAGCAGTTCGAAGTCACGGTGGGCAATGGTCAAACATTACATTGTCAAGGCTTCTGCCCAGCAGTACCTGTACAAATACAACAACACATTTTTTTGGTGGATTTCTACATCTTACCAATCCAGGGAGTTGATATGGTCCTCAGTGTTCAATGGCTGCAAGTCCTTGGACCAGTCACGTTGGATTATAATAAGCTAACCATGGAGTTTAAGTGGAACAAAGAAATTATCAAGCTTAAAGGAGAGTCTCATACAGGCCCAATTTCTCTCAATCAATTTCGCAAAATACAACAAACAGGGCAAGTGGCATCATTGTTTCAATTGGAGATGCTGGACACTGTCTCTGACTCTCCCACAGAGACCCCAATACCGCAGGTACAAACACTATTAGTAGAATTTGATTCACTTTTTCATGAGCCTACAGACTTACCTCCACACAGACATATAGACCATGAAATTCACCTTGAACCCAACACCTTACCTGTGAATGTTAGGCCATATAGATACCCATATTTTCAAAAGAGTGAAATTGAAAAACAAGTTGCCCAGATGCTTGATTCGGGATTTATCAAACATAGTAGTAGTCCTTTTTCATCTCCTGTACTTTTAGTAAAAAAGAAAGATGGAACATGGATATTTTGTATTGACTATAGAGCACTTAATAACATTACCATCAAAGACAGATTTTCCATTCTCACTTTCGATGAGTTAATGGATGAGTTTGGAGGTTTTCAATTTTTTTCTAAGTTAGATTTGAGAGCTAGCTATCACCAAATCCTCCTTAAACCAGGTGACACACATAAAATAGCCTTTAGGACTCACCAAGGCCATTATGAGTTCTTGGTTATGCCTTTTGGGCTAACCAATGCCCCTTCTACATTTCAAGCCACAATGAACCACATCCTTCAGCCTTATTTGCGCAAGTTTGTTGCTGTGTTTTTTGATGACATACTTGTGTATAGTGCCTCTATGGATCTGCATATACAGCAATTGAAACAGGTATTAGTTACTTTGCAAACTCATCAATTTTTTTATCAAAAAAAGCAAATGTTCTTTTGCTCAAAGGGAGGTTGAATATTTGGGACATATTGTCTCTTACAATGGTATGAGCATGGATTAGAATAAGATAAAAGCCATCCTAGAGTGGCCAACACCCAGAAATGTCAAACAACTACGAGGATTTCTTGGCCTCACGGGTTATTATAGGAAATTTGTTCAAGGATATGCAACCATTGCAGCCCCTTTAACAGATTTGCTTAAACATGATGCCCTTTCTCTGGTCCACAGCTGCTCAAACAACATTTGAAAATCTCAAGGCAGCCATGGTTACTGCTCCAGTGTTGGCCTTGCCAAACTTTGATCAAGACTTCATTATTGAGACTGATGCATCTGACCTTGGTGTGGGTGCTGTCTTTCTTCAAAATGACCATCCACTTTCTTATTTTAGCAAGAAGTTGTCCTTGAAAATGCAGAGAGCAGCAGCATATGCCAGAGAACTATATGCCATAACAGAGGCAGTGAAGAAATGGAGACAATATTTGTTGGGAAGGCGGCTTCTTATTAGAACAGATCAGAAAAGTCTAAAAG